TACTCCTAACACCGCCATTACTCAATCTCAGCAACCTGTTGATAACTCTGTCGTTATGAGTGATAATACTCATTCACCTTCTTCATCATCGTCTTCCTCTTCTTCGATCATTATAGTTATCATTGTTATTGCATCTGCTATTATCGTTTCTGCTTCTATATACCTCATCCTTCGCGTGATCTCGCGGCGATTCCACCGCTCCTTCCGTACATACGCCGCGGCGGATGATGTTGTCTCGCATTCTGCTGCGGTTACTGAAAACCGTTGTTTTGATGACCGACGGAATTCGGAGGAGGAGAAATTGGTTGATTCGTTACCGCTTTTTACGTTTGGTTCTGTTACTGGAAATTTAACCGGCGTGGACTGTGCTGTCTGTTTATCGAAATTCGAAAAGGATGATCAGCTGCGTCTGCTTCCGCTGTGTTGCCACGCATTCCACAGCAGTTGTATAGATGCTTGGCTCATAACGAACCAGACTTGTCCGCTCTGCAGGTCTACCGTGTATCCTACGGACGCGGATGTGCTTAGTAAAGTGTTAGCGGTGGAAAACGCCGAGGCTCGCGGCGGAAATGAACTGCAACATAGCGGTAGTTTCCGAATTGAGATCGGTAGTGTTAGTCGCCGTCGTGGTGCTTCTGATTCCGCCGCAGGCGATGGTCAGAGATCGTATTCTATTGGCTCGTTCGAGTACATTGTCGATGACGGTTACGAGCTTTCGGTAGGGTCCATACACCGACGTGGAGTTTCTGAATGCACCGACAAGGAATCGATCGGTTTTCCGGTGCCGGCGCCTCCTGGAGAAAGTATAGCTTCAGATGTTTCCGGTAGTGGACGGAGTTGGCTTCGGGACTACGTTGATAGAATCGGTTCGCTTTCTCTATCGTCACGCACAATGTCATTTCGGAGCTCCGGTAGGTTTTTCAACGGAAGTAGCCGGCGGAGCGAGACCGTCGTGCCTATCGACGATTTGGAAGCTGGCCGAGTTGGGGAGGAGATTAGCGAGTTGTTTCGGTGGCTCTCAGGGGTATGAATTTGTATATTCGATTGCACTGCAGGGGCAAATTCGTCTTTCAGTATACTCTTTTGATAAAAAACAAAAGCAAAAAACCACCACAGTTTGCCATTTCCACTCTCATATCCATTATTTTTGTGAGTGGATTTAGCAAGAATTGGAGTGTAGATAGTAGAAACAATTTAACCCATTTTTTACAAGCCTTTTTTCCATTTTCTTTTTAATCAAGGTAAAGCATTGTCCAAGAATGGTAATGATTCTATTCTTTACAGTTTACCAGGACTAACAATTTTCTTAAGTCAAATAGCACCATTTTTGGAGTGATTTTGGGGATTGAAATAGCTAGTGATGAGTTGGTTGGGGTTTTAAACTTTAAAATGAATTTACTAGTGGGGAGAAAGAAATCATATCCAAAACTAGCGTTCTCATTAATTTTTCAACTTAGTTGGAACTTTACTTGTTCAATTGGTATTCGATCTTTTAAAATTCTAAATTTCCTACTAATAATATCATTAATTAACAAGATAAGGTCAAAGTTTCATATGTAAGGATCGCAAAGTTTCATATGTAAGGATCGACTAGTTAGTTAACCAAAACCCCAAGCAAATAACACATGGTTTGTAAGAAGCTTTTGCCATATTTAGAGGGGATCACGATAATTTCCTACGATATAAAATGAATTTGACACCGTAATCAATTACAATGGTTTTATTTCGTAATAAATGCAGTTTTTACTTTTTCTCTATGTAATGATAAATTTCAATATAATAGATTGAGTTGACAAACTTATTGATCTTATTTCCTCTAAAATCTCTGTAAATTATTACATATCGAGAGACATATATTGAACTATTTAAGTAGCTTTATTAACTTGAAAACTTTAGCCTAACTTAAATATGCTGAAAAGAGAAGTGATCCATAATAACTAGTTTTGTTTTATGTGCATGACCAAATGCTGGTCCTTCAAATTTGACGACTCAATTTTATAGATGGGAGCAAAAAAGTCCCAAGTTATGAATAGTGAGAGTAATAACACCATGCCCCATTTAGCTGTAAAAGTTTGATCATCTATTTACTTTGCTCATGGACTCATTACCCTCGTTCCTCCACCCCAACCCCACAAAAAGACCCACAATAAATGGAACAAAACATAGATTGTTCCTTTTCAACTTCTAATCTCTCCTTTGTGTGAAACACCAAACCAAATTGGCGGAAATTAATGTATTATTTTTTAGTCGAACGTCGATCAGAAACAACTTTTCTACTTCACAAAAGTTAACGGTAAGGTTTGCATACACCCCATTATCCTCAGACTCCATTTATAAAATCACATTAAGTAAATTATTATTATTGTATATACGCATGTATTATAAAAATATTACATGCATTTATTTTCGCAAATTTGACGTGTCACAAGGTGTTGTGGTGGTGATGGTGGGAGGATTTTGAGCAATTTGAAAAGCACAACGTATCGAAATTATGCCAGCAAGTTGTTTATAGTTTTGACATTCTTTGGTCAACCTACCAAAGTTGCGCAAACATGTGACGACGAATTATCCCATATTGTTACATTACATTATTAGGTTATCTATTTGTTTTGTCCCAAATTAAAGTCCTTGTTAAAAATTTCAAACCTTCCCATACACATGGATTCTTTGTCGTGCGCTATGTCATAGATCTTTTCCTATCTGGCTTAGATAATGACAAATACCTCTGTTAACTCTTCCATTACATGGAATTCATTGACCACTAGACTTCTTTATTTTTTTAAATTCTTGGTTTTTATTTGTATGCATATGCACAAAGAAAACATGGAGTAATTAAACGTTTTATATTTTACCCTATGTTTAAAACTATTGAATTGAACTTGCTCTTCAAGAAACTAATGTCATCTACCATTATCTCAATCCATTGATCAGGTCATTGTAATCTACGGAGTATCTAATATTGAGATGGAAGTCTTCACCAATAAATTAATATTCTAAAATTCTTGGTAAATGATTAATTTCTATCCTATTTTCACAACTGCATAGAAGTGTTTCCTAATAAATTATATAGATGTTTCTTGAACATTAAAGAATTTGAAGTCCATTATCAAAAGAGATGAATTGGAATGCCTAAATTAAATAGGATTATATTGAAGAGTATTAAATTTTCTCGATGATCAGTTCACATCCTTGTATAGAATAGAAAAAGGAAAAGAGAGACAAGAATTAAAGAAAAAACAGTTGATCCAACCAACAATAGAGCACGGCCATAAGGGCAAGTAGATGCTTTAAGCAAGATTAATACTTGTAGTTGTAGTAGAAGAATCTTTTTTCAGGTACATTTGATGTCATATTTGTTTCAGGATTCAGAGAAAGAAACAACATAAATACTTAGTTGATCCAACAGAATCAAAAGCAGCAACTTTTCCCTATTTTGTCTTTAGTATTTCTACTATATATATATTTACTTGTCATGCACGCAGTCAAGGCATCTCTTTCAATTTTTTTATGTGGATAAAGGAGTCAAGTATGCAGCCAAATCTAAAGCAAACATCCGTCCACCAACTTTTTCTTTGTGAAAAATCGTTTCTTTCTTTTGATATTTTCCTCTTGTTTCAGAACTAAGTTGTAGAGGCTTGCAAGATTGATTTTACTTTTTATATATAATATAATTATGGCGCCCAGTCGACCTGCATATATAAATAGTGTTATGATACGCTACTACATGTATCGAATAACTCTATTCACCAACGGTTAGCGAGTGGGAAGAAATGTCCTAACGTGTTTGTCTCGTGTGAGAGTTGAATAAGAGACAAACACGTGGTTGATCTCTTTGTACGTGGGGTCATGATTGTGGTTTATAGAAATTTCTTTAAAGGACAAGTGTGAATTTGAGGTTAGTAGAGGTAAATTATATATTACAAACGGTTGATTAGATTAAGTCAACTTAATCTCTCTAAAGCACATGAGTCATCCAACAAACTGCGTCTTGTCTATGGCACAGTGACAACAATATTAGGTGGGAAAAAATAGATATTTTCCATGAAATGTATTATTTGCCAAATGATGTCTCCTTTGTGTGCCCTTTGCCTTTCTTTTGTTTTTGGTAAGACCAACTATGTATGTGAACTTCACCAACTCTTTCATTCATTGTGATCAGGTGGCTCCATATTTCTCTACAATTGCTTTTGGTCATTGAGAGCACACTACATATCCATATAGAGAGAGTTGAAAGTTTTTAAAATATATATTTTCTAAGTCTTTAGGTGTCACAAAAGAAAATTTGGTTCTGTGGTACAAAAATTATCGACTTAAAATCATGGATTTGCCTTTGATTTTAAATAGATGGTGGAATAGTAATCCCAATTTTATTATTCAGCTTAATTGAATAAATTCGGTAGCCATTCTCTAGTTTTCAGAAGACTCTTTTAATTACATGTCAATCTGCATAATTGTTACACAGGCTAAGAGATATTAGTTCCAAGTCCCACCAAAGTATTCTGCTAACTGATGATAAATAGAACAAATATCATCGCAACTAAAACAAAATATGGCAAAGAATCACGAAAAGTTCTAAGACTATTCGATTTATATCTGAACAAATATCATTGCAAATAAAATTTTGATATATATGCTTGGATTTATATCCCTGTGGCAACATGGTAAGAGAAACTCTTTAGAACTCAGCTCAAATGGATCTTAGCTACGTCTGCAATGAGTTACGTTAGGATCTCCTGCAAATAATATTGTGCTGTGCAAGGCAATGCTAGTTAATAAATGTATCGGCAGTGGAAGAAAAATACACATACACAGCACATTCATGTCCCGCCTTTGGTAGCTGAGCTTAGGTCGATGAGATAAAACAAGCAAATTTATTGCTATGCTTTGATCGGTATGCTGATTCTAGACAATCTGTATGTTCATTATGTTGTATGCAAAAAAAGAGAACACCAATGCAATACAGCAAGAATAAAAGGCATGAGTAATCTAGAGGCAAATTCCAAAGTCAGCATCATGAATGGTTTTCCAAGGTTGATTCAGCAGAATGCATGACAAAATTTTAGCTGAGTAGATATATTGTACTGTCAGAAAAGTTTGAAAAGGAATTGTTGAAAGTAGATAATACAGAACAAAACAAAAATCCAAATTTTGTTCGATAAAAGACCTTTGTCTCTGTGTGCTCTGCTGCAAGGGAAGCTGGTTCCACTATAACACCCTTTCTTCTGCTTAATCCCTTCACCAAGATCATTAAGTACGAATGTGGTATTTCTCTGGCTACTACTAAACAGAACACACCATAAGTAAGGTCCTTTGTGCTTGTGAGCTTTGATAATACCAACTCCAACTTCAGTATGAGTTTTATTCCTCAAAAGAGAAAGAGTCCTTTTGTCATGCACAAGTGCATTTGAGAAGGCTTCCGATGGCTCAAGATACTTTTGTTGACAGCCGAGTATGTAGCCAGATATGGTCCCAAAAGTGGGTAGCTCGACGCCACAGTTTGGTGCAAAAACTTCAGTGAAGTCGTCTTCTGGAGGCTGACAATTTACACTGCTGTTAGAAGTGCAATTCCCCATACATTCCTCTGCATATTGTAAGGCTATGCACCCAAGTCCAGGACTATTACTAAGTTGAGGAAGCTTTTGAGTAGTTCTATTCTTGTTGATGATATCAACAAGGTCATTCGCAGAATTTCCTGTAGCATTAAACACAGAAATCATGCTGGTTCAAGGAAAGGCTACTAAATTCAAAAAGAATTAATTCATCAATTGCAAAACATTACTATTTCGAAATCCAAAAAGCCATATAGTTAGGCTAGAAAAATTTGTTCAATCCCCTCCTGCTAACTTAATTAATTGTCCCGAGCTCTCAAGGCCCATCAAGTGGTGTCAGATCTACAAGTTGAAACTTGACCCTTTTTATGTCATTTCTTTTAAAGTTTTTATGTTGTATTCTTTTATCTATCCAAAGACACAATATGGTTATGGCCCCTGCTTGTAACTAATATCAGATAATAGGTTCTTAGAGCCATCAGTATTTGTCCCTCCAAGCTTAAACATCAGGCACTGGCAAGTTGATACTTCTTTGTTTTCCTCTTTACGACACTTTCTTTAGAGTATGACTTCTCCAAATATTGATATCCTGGCCCTAACGTAGTTTGTCCAGTCCTTAGAGGAATTACAGTTCCAGCTCCGTATTTAAAAAAATTAGTATTGCATGAGTATTACCAGTTTAAAACTGAACTTGTAAATTCTTCCTTTAGCTTCTTTTCTCTTTTTCTTTTTTGATAAACAATCCTTCCTTCAGCTTCACAATTTAGGATCACTAAGAATTCCAACTAGGAACACGATAGGAGACAAACAGAAGTACTATAAGAGTATGAAAAACGTGTAAACGATAGAGGACTCAGGAAGTAAACAAAGGAGTCTCCAGGATGAATGTAAGAGTAGACTAATTATCTATCTACTAGTTCTCTACCAGTTCACATTTTCATCAGTTATTTCAAGTTGTTACAATGTGAAGAATCTACAAAAATATACATTCTCTTGAGTGTTTTTTGAGACATAGGTACTAGAAAACTAAGTAGACGCTCCTACTAGTCAAGTTCTCCATATTCAAATCCATTTCAATCGCTCAACATTCATTCTTGACTGTTCTTAAAGATCTGAGAGTATGTTAGACGAGCTATAAAAAAAGCTTCGAGCCAGGTATTCACAGCCAGAAAACTAGGAATGCTGAATATAATAAATAAGATGGAACTAAGACATAGCGTATAATGTCAATGACAAAAGATAGAGAATTCATGGGCTAGGGTGGCCCCATTTCGCCTTATCAACCGGGGGAATCTGGTAATGATCTAGATTCAAGATCGCTGTACAAACAGACCTTTGGATGAAAATTTGACATCATGAAGGTGGACAAAGGTTTCCATAAATGACAAATGTGGTGCATCAAAGCGAGGGAGATTGCATCCTCAATTCAATCATATGAACGAGGACGATTCACAAAAGATTCCAAGGCAGCCTGTGACTCAGTATGTGAGAAGGGGACGGAACTATACACTTTCATGTTAGGAGCACTGGCTAAGTCAGTGGGCAGTGCCTACCAAGCAAAAATTTCTTGAAAAGCCCTAAGGTAATCCGAAGATCATCTTTAGTAAATGATGTGTACTGATTGGTAGTTACAGCCAGTACTATGACACCCTATTGTTTCGAGGGAGCCCACCTTTATGCCCACCCCCCTCTCCAAGGTTAAAAGGAATCACCATTTATATGTCGCGCTAAAATATTGTTATCATTTTGGTCTTTGATGTTCCCTTAAGAAATCTAATTAAGAAAGTGTTTTGAAGAGTGGGATGTCTATTTTCTAACCAATATTATTCTCATATTCACTTATCATAAAAGGAAGGGGTCCTTGGAGTAACGGTAATGTTATCTCCATGTGACCAATAGGCCACGGGTTTGAGCAGTGGAATCAGCCGTTAGCTCCACTAGTGCTTGCATCAGGGTAGGTTGCATGCATCTCACCTCTTGGGATGTGGCCCTTTCCCGGACCCCAAAGACCAAAAAGAAACTGATACTGATTTCATATTAGAAATTTTCAGTTTTTTTAAAGAAAATTACGCTTAGCATATCACTCCAACTTTCTTCTTCTTAATATGTTAATTCATGAGCAAATTAAATTAGCCACCAAAATTTAGAAAATCTGGCTGCACCTCTGCATACAGCTAAAGATTGATATCGATTCAATCCGAACCAGTAGATAAATGTACTAATTGCATCCGCAAACAATAAAATACATTACTAGTTAGGAAACAAAGTAGTTAAGTGCTTCTTTCTATAGACATGGCATTCTCACAAAAACCAAACACCATTTTCTTCCTTTCAAAATCTAATTGAGGGGCTTAGAAAGTATTAAATGAAGAAGACATTTGGTAAGTACTTGCACTTCATATGGTATCCTATAAGAAAGCAACACTATAAAATTGGAATTTTGTCTAGTAATGCCAAAACATCAACTGAGATCAACTAGGCAAAACCTAACTGGAAATTAGTGTAGTAATGCCAAAATATTCTTCTCCTCAACTAAGATCAACCGGGCAAAACCTAATTGGAAATTTCTATGGTAATGTCAAAACATTAAGTAAAATCAACTAAGCAAAACCTTGAATCTATACCCTAATTTCAATGTCAAATTCTTACCTCCCTCAACACAACATGGTCTCTTTTCTTTTCTTTTTTAATGACGGTGGTGTGGACGACAAATTCCCCACACCTAGACTACCGGATACGTGCTACTCCCACTACTAGCACAGGTATCGGGTAACTCTACCCTAAACATGGTCTCTTTTTCAGCTATAACATTTTTCAACAAATTCCTTCAGTTTAAACAAAAGAACAATACTCACAACAAGGTTTTGTTAGCTATTTAGACTATGAATGCAACCCATCAAAAGTTGGGATTTGTAGAGCATAAAACTTGTTAGACTCATTATTGGAAAGAGAAGACACTCAAGTAAAATTGCCAAATGCTGAAAATAGGCAAGAAAATAAAAGGAATGAAGTAAGTAAAGGGTAAAGAGCTATTATTACCATGGTACTTGGAGGAAACAACAACAGCTAAGAGGAGACTACAAAGAGCAAATGACTGAAAGCAGCAGAGCTTCTTCACCATCATCACAGCTACTCACAACCCAAAGAGTAAAACCAAAAAATGTGAGCTTGATATAAAAAGAAGAAAATTCAAGAGAAAAAGGGAAAAGGAGGAAACTTTCTGGGATAAAAAAGGGTACTTGCCTTTAACAATGTAGCCTGTGTACTATGGAGAGTTTAAAGGGACAATGGGGTTCATTTTTATTTAGTGGAAAAATAAAAGGATCATTAGCAAGAAAGTTGACAAATGATTGAATTTCTTGCAAGGAATTGAGGAGAAAAGAAGAAAGTGGTGGTCCCAAGTAGCCGTTCTTTAATTTCCTTTTTGGCTTAGGAATGGGAGTAAGGTTTATTAAAGAAATTCATTGGATTATTCTCTTTTGTCGTTCAATGTCTACACCAGTGACCAGTCCATTGATAAGAATATTTGTTGACAGTGATTAAGATGGTTGATTAAAGAGTAATCGGTGATTTAGTATACAGCTTATTAATCTAGTCAACTATTTTTTTTCCCATGTAATTAACATGGAGGTAAGGATGGGTGAATTGAACAATTAAGTAAGGTTATGAGATTAGAAATTTGTGATATTTACAACTTGTTTAGCAGCTAGACTCTGTACCAAGCAGGCCCAATTGTGACACCATTTTAGTACCCCTCTTTTAAACATTGAAAAATACTAAATAAATATCTTAAACTATTCATAAATTGCATAATTGAAGTCTCTTAGAATAAATTTCAGTTTTTCTTGAATTTATCTCCCAAAATTAACAAATCCTCTTTATGTAGCTTTACTGTCAAAACGTTTGCACATTCGTTTGTCTCCTCCATATATGTATAACAGTAGCTTTGCACTTCCTGGAAAACTTTACAATTGTATTGGTGGAAAAAATAAAGACATGGAATGTGGACTGTCAGCAAGCTGACGGGGCATGATACGTGTAGCATCGATATAACGACAAGTGACATTCTCAATTAGATGAGTTAAGAATACAGGAAAGACATGGGAGAAATACCCATGGAATTACGTAGAGAAAAAAGAACCGGACCTGACAGTTGTTAAAAAAGAAACATAAATGAAATGCATAAAGGTTGCAAAGAAAGGGAAGGTATACGAACCATAAGTAAATAAGGAAGGGGAACCAGTACATTTATAAGGAATCTTTAGTCATAAATGTATCAGTTACGGTTACATATGGTAACTGTCAATCAATACAATTAATATCATTAGTGATCCCAAATTAAGTATGAGAACCGTTATAATTGTATACTCCTATATAAGGACAAAAATCTCGTTTTTATAAGGGCAAGTGACAATTATTATAGAAATCCACACTATTATTCTTTGCTTTATTCTCTAAGCTTTAAGCCTTAATTTTGGGGATTGATTATCAGTTTGTTTCTTATTTTCCTTTGTCAATCATTTCATCCTCGATCTATTCTTCCAATATTATTGGGAAAGTGAAGTAAATCTTGGTTATCAGTAATCCGATTTCTTCTAGATATTGGCTTTGACCGAAAAATCTATTTTTGGTTAAACAAATTAGTTCTGTTACCGGGAATCTGATAATCTGTTCACTTTCCAATCTCTAACAATAAAATATGTCTACCGTTAATGACAATAATCAGCTAAACCAACAAGGTACAACTTCACCACACCACACACCAACGGGATCCCCTCAGCAGTCACGTGAAAGTTCGTCTGCAAGGTCCACTTCTCGTGCTGATGATCAACAGGAAAATGACCAAAATGTGGAGCAAAACGCTCTAAAGCAATTGACTGTGGAGCACGTGAATAATGCGCTGCAAGCTTTTGTCAGTAGATTACCTAATACGGTGTAAACTCCTCCACCAATTAACAGAGCAACTCTGGAGAACCCGCGTTCAGGGCTTGATAATTCTGGAAGTGGAGAAAATCCTAATGAATCTGTGATAAAGGGTCAGGTACTCCAAATAATTCTAATTTACAAAGTTTAGTGCTAACTTTGCAGAAACAATTGAAGGAGCAGAACGATCGTATAGAGCAGATAACAGACATACCACCCGTAATCAAAGGGGTAGATATTGACAAGTATTCACAACAGCCCTGGAAGCCAAGTGCGTCACCTTTACCAATTCCTAAAAAGTTTAAAATGCCTGATATTCCCAAATACGATAGAACAACTGACCTTCAAGATCATGTAACTACGTTCACTACTGGCGTGAAAGGCAACGATTTAACCAAACAAGAAATCGAATCAGTTTTGGTCAAAAAGTTTGGTGAAACACTCACGAAGTGAGCATTAACATGGTATTCTCTTTTACTTGAAAATTCTATTGATTCTTTTACTGAGCTTGTAGATTCGTTTATAAAAGCACATTCGGGAGCTCAAAAAGTTGAGAAAAGGATAGAAGACATCTTTAAGGTTAAGCAAGGGAATACATAATTGCTTAGAGAATTCGTAGACAGATTCCAACGAGAGAGGATGATGTTACTTCGAGTACCTGATAACTGGGCGGCTATGGCATTCACGAGCAACTTGAACGAGAAAAGTTCAAAAGCCACGAGAAGGCTGAAGGAAAGTTTGCGAGAATTTCCAGCAATAACTTGGAATGATGTGTACAATAGGTACAGTACGAAGTTGCGGATAGAAGAAGATACGGTCGCATAGCCAAGGGCCAATGAAAGAGCAGGATCGAGACGTGCAGAATCAGAAAAAAGATCCGGTAAAAACAGGTACGAGCCGTACATGGGACCTATTGGGCGAGACTCTCGATCTAAACAGGAAATCGCACGATTCGAATCAAGACCGAGGCAAAAAGACACGAGTTCTTCATCGAGGTTCAGAAAGGAACGAGATACCCGAAGCAATGATTCCAATACGCAAGTGAGGATAGAAGATTATAGCTTTAATATCAGCACCTCCCAGTTAGTAGCTGTTTTAAGAGGTATGGGGGATAAGGTGTGGTGCCTAAAGAAATGAGATCAGATCCAAGCAGAAGAAATCCAGATTTCTGGTGCGAGTTTCATAACGATCATGACCATGGAATAACAGATTGTAGACTTCTGTAAGGAGAAGTCGAGCATATGTTAAAGCAAGGTTATCTTACTGATTTGTTCAGTGAGAAAGTAAGACAATCATATATGAAGAATAGACAAGAGCCCCAAAACTTCCATTACCAAAAAGAACAGTCAACGTAATAATTGGGGGAGATGAGGTCAATAGAGTAACATATACAGATGCAAAAAAGATGTCAAAAGCCACGGTTACTCACGGGAAGTGAGTTCGATAGGTCTTGGATGGTGACAGTATAACATTCGATGATGAGGATGCAGGCGGCTTGATAATTCCTCACAATGATGCATTGGTAATATCTTTACTTGTACATGACACTAACGTAAAATGAGTTTTGATTTATCCAGGTAGCTCAGTGAATATCATTTTATTAAGGGTGGTGAATGAAATATAAGCTAATGATAAGGTGATACCAAAGGCGTGGTCCTTGTCCGGGTTTGATAATTCAAGCGTTATCACAAAAGGGAAAGTAGTACTCACCACATTTGTAGAAGGAGTTGCCGAGGATACAAAGTTTCAGGTGATAGACGCGGACATGGCCTGCAATATAATTATGGGAAGACCATGGATTCACGATATGGACGTTGTCCCATCCATATTACATCAAGTTACCAAATTTCCTTCACAATGGGGAATTCGTCAAATCCGTGGAGATCATCAAGCTTCAAGAAATATCAACTCAGTGGTGATTGCAAGCACAATAGCCAATGATGCAGATGCGAAATAGCAACTACAAAATTCGATTGAGGACGTTGCCACAAAGACCTCAACTGAAGACACACCAGGACATACTGATGTTGATTCGAGACCCGATATTATTCAAGAGCCAAAGAAAATGAAAATATTAAGACAACTACTGAAGAGCTCGAAGTTGTAACGCTATTTGTACACTGGCCAGACAGAAAAGTTTAAATCGGAGCAAATTTAAGCCCAAAAATGAAAGGTAAGTTCATTGAATTTTTACAAGCTAACGGGGATTGCTTTGCTTGGTCGCACTCAAATATGATAGGTATACCACCGGAGGTGATGACCCACAATCTAAATGAGGATCTATTATACCCACCTATCAAGCAGAAGAAGAGGAAGCAATGATCCTTCAAAAATCAAGTGGTCCATGATGAGGTACAAAAGCTTTTAAAAACTGGGTCAATACGAGAGGTAAAGTACCCTCACTAGTTAGCTAATACCGTGGAAGTGCCCAAAAAAATGGAAAATGATGAGTTTGTGTAGATTATACTGATTTAAATAAGGCTTGTCTTAAAGATTTATTTCCTTTACTGCATATAGATCAACTAATTGATTCTGCCGCAGGACATGAACTTTTGAGTTTTTTTAGATGCGTATTCAGGATATAACCAAATAAAAATGGCCCCTCTAGATGAGGAAAAAATGTTGTTTATCACAGACATGGGGACTTATTATTATAAAGTCATGCCATTTGGCTTGAAAAATGCTAGAGCCACGTATAAAAGATTGGTGACTACAATGTTTCAAGAACATTTGAGAAAAACTATGGAAGTCTACATAGATGATATGTTAGTCACATCAACACAGGCGGGAAATCATTTTCAACACTTGTCATACACTTTTGAAATTCTCCGCAAGTATAATATGAAGCTAAATTCAGAAAAATGTGCTTTTGGCGTGGCTTCAGGTAAGTTCTTAGGTTTTCTTGTTTCTAATAGGGGTATTGAAGTGAATCATGCACAGATCAAAGCTATCGAGGAAATACCAGATATACTCATGAGAAAGAATGAAGTGCAGAGATTAACAAGCAGGATAGCAGCCTTGGGGAGGTTTATATCAAAGACATCATAAAAAAGTTTTAAATTCTTTTCAATATTTAAAAAGCAAAATCAGTTTGAATGGACTGATGAGTACCAACAAGCTCTCAAGGACCTAAAGTCGTATCTATCAAATCCGCCTTTGCTAGCCAAACCAAAAGACGGTGACAGGTTGCTCATTTACCTTGCTGTGTCAGAAGTAGCGGTAAGTGCGGTGATGGTACCAAAAGATAAAGGTAAGCAATCCCCAATTTATTATATTAGTAAATCTTTACTAGATGTTGAGACATGATATCCACACTTGAAAAAGCTTGGTTTAACATTAATTATGGCATCTAGGAAATTAAGACCTTATTTTTAATATCATCCTATTTCCATTATAATTGCTTTCCCCCATGAGGAACATACTAAATAAACAAGAATTATCAGGTAGATTAGCTAAATGGGCAGTAGAACTCAGTGAGTATAATATCATATATCAGCCTAGAA